ACACACACACACACACACACACACACACACACACACACACACACACATACACACACTTGCTCGCGGGCTCGCGCAAGCGCAAGAGCCTTAAAAGCTAGAATCTGAATCTGGGTGAGAACATGTGATTTATCTTTCTGTGTCACTCATTTTACAGATTCATCCATTTTCCTGAGAATTTCATAATTCCATGTTCCTTTTGTTTGTTGTGTCTATGTACTACATTTTTATTACGCACTCACCAGTTGATGGACGTCTGTGCTGGTTTCATTGTCATTGTAAACAGAACAGCAATAAGCATGGACATGCACAGAGCCCTGTGGAGGGACACGGAGTCCTTTGGGTACATGCCTAGCAGTGGTGTATCTGGGTCATGTGGGAGATATAGTTTTAATTTTTTGAGAAACTTCTGCACTGATTTCATAATGGCTCCGTTGCTAGTCTCTCCAGCAGTGAAGATGTGTCCCTTTTCTCCTGCACAGACTGGCCATGGTGGTGGCCATCTCTGTTTCCTACACTCAGGTGCTGGAAACAGTTGCATCTCCTCTGTGAGTTTGAGGCTAGCCTGGTTTACAGAGTGAGTTCCAGGCCCAGGCCAACCAAGGTAACATAGTGAGACCCTGTCTCAAAACAAAACAGAAAATAGTTTCTGCACAACAGAGCTAAAAGACAACCTACAGAATAGAAAAAAAAAATGCCAGCTATACTTCAGACAGGAATTTATACACATTTAAAAATTAAATGAAAAGAAGAGCAGGGGTTATCCTGGACTACGTAGGTGAATCCAAAATAGTCAGATGAGCCCTCCAAGCCGTGAGAATAGAGGAGGAAGTCAGAGAGAGGCCAGACAAGGGAAGGACCTAGCATACCACTGCTGGCTTGAAGACTGGGTGTCCTCAGGGAATTCAAGAAGGAAATTAACTCTACAGTCATCAGTGAGCTCCAGCTGACAGCCACCACCCCAGACCCATATAGACCCTGACCTGCAGAGGCTACTTACTTCAGCATTTCTGGGCAATTAAGATTATTAGGGTAGCAACAGGAAACGGACACACCTCTGGCCACATAGGTGAGGTCAGTGAAGCTGGTTTTCCTTCAGCTGTGGAGGTCCTAGGGATGGAACTCAGGTGGCCAGGCAAGTACCTTCATCCGCTGAGCCATCTCACCCTTCCTTTAACATTTTTTATGACAGTTTTAATTTATTCATTCACTTGTTGTGTGTGTGACCTCTACATTTTTAATTGTTTATTCTGTGGCTAATTGCTTGATAGCTACTTGCAGCAGCACATATTTAAATTTTACCGTCATGTCAGGGTGCCGCCTAGGTAAAGCATGCTCACTCTACTTTCAGATCTGTACCCTCAGCCCTTCCTTACTGTTTGTCGTTCATAGTTGTGTTAAGGACCAAGGGATTGTTGAACGCTTGCTAATATTGCATTTCTGCATTTCTTTCTCTGTTGGTTTTTCTTTTAGGGTTGGGGTACCCTAAGGCACACCTCAGCCCTGTTATTTAAGTCAGGGTCGCTACCCCTGGTTGTCCTCAAACTCACTCTCTCCCAGGGTTGCAGACTCATACTGCCGAATGTATAGC